CATATAATATGCATTATATATATATATGAATTAGCAATATAATATTATTCTAAAAATAATAATATCATACATACTATTGTAATATTAGAAAAACTCCTTGAGACTTATGAACACCCTCCATGGTAGACAAAAAATGTAATTCAAAAATCAATTCTTTATTTCTATAAGACTCATGCATATAGTTAAAAAATGTTGAAGTTATTTTAAAAGTATTGGTTAATGTGTACCTTATAAACTCTTTATATTTAAATATAATGTTATCTATCCCTTTTTTTATATATTATTTTCCTTTGATTTGCCATTTCTTACGCTTTAATGTATCAATACTTTTTTCTAGAGGGTAGCACTCCAATTATAAAATTAAAGTTATTTTGTCATTGTCTAAACTTAGAATGTAATATATAGATTTAAATGTCGTCATGTATGTATTAATGAAGTTTTTCGAATAAAAATACCCGCAGAGCCTTACACTAGTGAAAAATTTCGCCCTGTTACACTAGCAAAAAAAATTGGCTCCGCTACACTAGCAAAAAAAATTGGCTCCGCTACATTAGTGAATTTTTTTATCTCCTACCTACACTAATGAAAATTTTCGCCCCCCTTGACTTCAAATCCTGGATCCGTCCCTGCATGTCGGGCTTTTTTCCGGTCCCATTTTTTCATAACCCGAAATGTAGATACATGTTATAAATTGAGTTAACAAGTTGACACTTTTGAATGTTGTTTATATTTCTTATTGTTGTATCATGTATATTACTATTTGTTGCATTATGTTTCTTTTTGTTGTAACATGTTTTTTTTGTTGCAACGTGTTGTTTATCGTTGTATTGTGTTACTGATTGTTGTTAATGATTTATATTTTTGTTTTTTATTTAGGTTTCTATTACCTTTTTGACTTCCTTAATATTAAATAAAATGTCTATGTAGATGTGGAAACAAACAATAAATTTAGATTTATGAAAATAAACAACAATTTGATATAAAAACCAATAAAAACAAAAATTTCATAATTTTAAGCAAAAAGAGACATAGAAACAATGGCAACAAAAACAAAAATATAATAATAATTAAATAGTTTAAGTGCTTTAAGGAATATTACATTATAAAATTCTTATTTTTTCTTTTTCAATTTTTTTCCAAGTTCATTATTTTAATTATTTATATTTTTATTCACTGAGTTTTTTTATTCACTGAGTTTATTTTAATTTTTAAACTCTTTTAGGTTACATTAATTTTCTGATATTTTAAAATTTTATGTAATATATTTTTATTTTTTTGACTGTAATATAAATTTTAAATTAAGTTTTCGAATGATTTCAAAAAATTTTATATTTATTGGAATTTTTATTTTTTTAATATGTATATTTTCTAATTTTTTAAAATAATTAATTTTTCATAAAATATTCGATTTTTTTTCATATCATTTAATATTTTCAAAATATTTTAATCTTATTTTACGTTTTTAAAATAATTTTAAGGTTATAGATTTTAACTATTTTATACCTTTTTATATTACTTTTGATTTTTATACTTTGTAAAATGAATTATACTCCATATTATCTATTTGAAAAACTATATTAAAAAATATTTCTCAAGTTTTTATTATTTTAAGATTTCTACATGTGTTTATTTTTCTATCTTTTTTGTAAAGATTAAATTCGTTTTATTTAATTTTTAAATTAAATTTACAATTTTCCAATTTTGCTTTTTTTGAATTTTATTTTTTATTTTGAGTTCCTTATGTTATTTTAAAATAATTTTTTTATTTTAAATATTGTTGTTTTGTAAGCATTATCGAGTTAATTAAAAAGAAAAAGTTAAGTGTTGCACGTAGGCTACGTACTTTAATTGAGGGTGGGTGAAAAGTGAAAAATTTGAGTCGGTGAGCTTCCTACAGAATGTTTATTTTTGAAGTAATCTATATTTGAAAAAAAGCTACCTATATTGTTTACCCTTTTAAAAAGGATGACACTCCATCCCTTAGGGGCCCCAAGCCCGATCGGACGGTACGTTGGGAGAATGTAAATTGGACTATAATCTCAATCTGATAGATATAAAGTGGTTCTGTCCCCGGTACTTGCAAAGGCCTATGCATTTTAGCATAGTAAGTTAGTAGAGGAAATTACCAAATTACAGGACTTTGTTGTATGACAAGCCATTTTACGGGACATGCAATTAGGTTACCAAAAAGGGGGAGTCGGATTCTCTAATTCCGACTGGAGGGGAGTGCGAGAATTGAAAATAGGCATCCTCCTGTCGGATTTGCCACTTCCGAGTAGGGGGTTTCTTTTTATTTTTTTATTAGTGGCCGAATTGCTAATTTTCAAAGCTCTTGATGTAATTCCAAATTTTCAAAGTAAAAGCATTTGATTTTTTAATGTAAAAGCTTTTGATTTTCAAAGTTTTTAAAACTAAAGTTTTAAATTCTGTTAATTCCAAATTCAAAAGTTTTTTCAAATTCCTGCCATATTTTTTAAATAAAGTTTTTTTTTGTTTTTTTTAATTCCTGTCGGAATTGTTAATTCTATATAAAGTTTTAAGTAATTGCCCCATATAGGACTAAAAGAGAAGACAAATTCTCAAATAGGACTATGTATGTTTTTTCCCCAAATAGGATTTATTTACTCCTATTTTAAAACATCCGTATATTTCATTCCATTATTACCCCCTTATCCCTTTAAGCACATCTCCCTTCCCCTGCGCACAACCGTTTCCCCTTCTCCCATGCGCACGTCTTCTCTTTCTTCCTTGCGCACCATCGATTGGCTTTACCTAGGCCATCGCCGCCGCCGTCGACTTCACCTTGCGCATCAGATCGATCGAGTTCCTCTCACGCCGCCGATTTCACCGCTGCCATTAAGGTTCTCCTCCTCCTCCTCCTTCTGCTTCTTCTTCTTCCTCTTCCTCTTCCTCTTCCTCTTCTTCCTCTTCCTCTTCCTCTTCCTCTTCCTCTTCCTCTTCCTCTTCCTCTTCCTCTTCCTCTTCCTCTTCCTCTTCTTCTTCTTCTTCTTCTTCTTCTTCTTCTTCTTCTTCTTCTTCTTCTTCTTCTTCTTCTTCTTCTTCTTCTTCTTCTTCTTCTTCTTCGATTTTCCTCTGTTTTTCTGGATTTTGAATTGAATTTTCCAATTTTTGGACTTCTGTTTTGCCAAATTTCGATGTTCTGGTTTTTCAAACTTCTATTTCGATGTTCTGGTTTTTAATTTCAGAGTTTAAAAAAATTTCGATTTTCATAAATTTTTGGATGATTGCTTCAGATTTGGCCAAGTTTATGGCAAAAATGTGTACATTTACAATCATATTATGGAAGAAATGCTTTTGTATAAATTGGTTTTTCTATTTTTTGTCAATAGCTTCGTTTTTCTAATTTATGATTGTGTTAATACGCTTGTTCCATTAAAATTTTTAGTTGTTTGAATATTTGGTTATTTACTTCGTGTTATTTTTTTGCCAAATTTTTGGCAGTTTTGTGTTATTATGTCAAATTGAATCTGCCAACTTTTTTGTCAGATCTGAAACATTTGTTCATGGCAGAAGTGAATCTAATCCCCAATGCTAAATCTGCCAAGTTAATGGCAAATTATTCCGCTTGAGTTGTCACTGTCGTGGCGATGCTCAGAGGATGGTGGCTTGGGTGGATGGTGACGCTGGTGTGTGAGGCGGGAAGGGGCGGCGATGGTGTGTCGGCAAGGATGCAGTGGCAAACAATAGACGGAGAGGGCGGCGATAGGGGGCGCCGTCGCCTGAAATGTAATCAGCCTATATCATGAACATGAGTTGTAGAATTGACAATGATTTACTTAACATATAGATGGAATTTTAATATCCATACTCGTGATTCACATTTTTTAGACCCGGATCATAAACCTCCAAATTAACCCAATAAGGGCACAATCATACGAATTTTATGCAATCAGCCTATATCATGAACACAAGTTGTGAAATTGACCACGAGTTCCTTAATATATAGATGATAATTTAATATTAACACTTGTGATTCACATTTTTTAGACACGGATCATAAAAACCCCAATTCGACCCAGTAGGGATACAATCATTTGAAATGTTATCAGCCTATATCATGAACACGAGTTGTAAAATTGACAATGATTTACTTAACATATAGAGGGAATTTTAATATCTATACTTGTGATTCACATTTTTAGACCCGGATCATAAATACCCCTATTCGACCCAATAGGAATGCAATCATTTGAAATGTAATCAGCCTATATGATGAACACGAGTTGTAAAATTGACAATGATTTACTTAACATAATTAGATAAAATTAATGAGATAAAATATAATCAGATAAAATTGTATCAAACTAAATATAATCAGATAAAACTAATTAGATAAAATATAATAGATAAAGTATAATGAAATAAAAAATAACAGATAAAATAAAATCAAATATAACACATCAAACTCCTGCAGTCGGAACTCTTAAATCCGACAGGAGTTAATTTTTTTTTTCAAATAAACTTTAAAAAGAATTTGGTTAAAGTTTTAAATTTAAAAGTTGGATAAATTTTTAAACATTTGGATAAACTTTCGGCCAAGCCATATTTTATTAAGCTTTCATTTAAACACCCCCTGGTCGGAAGTGGCATATCCGACAGGAGGAAAGAGTTTTTTTTAGTTTTTTAAAACTCAAAATAAAAAACTTAACAATTTGCAAAAAAAACAAACAAACTCCTAGTCAGAAGTCCCTAATCCGACAGGAGGAAAGAGTTATTTTTGGAAACCCTACCTCTAGTCGGAACACCCAGTTCCGACTCCCGTTTTTTGGTAAAATCTAGAAAAATCCCCGTATTTTGGCAACGCCAACCCTTTTTTCCCGTATTTCCGTAAAACACACTGAGTTAGTAACTCCTCGTAGCAATTGGCAAGATTCGAACCGCGACCTAACTTGTCACACTGAGTAAGCTACGCCCGCCGGTTTGTTTACCCTTTTCCGTGAAAACGTGAGTGAGCTGCTTTACAAATTAAAGATCGAGTAGAACGTTGCATGGGAGACACTTGTCAGTGCCATAACAACTACGTATCCAAATCTGATCGATCGATCTCAAACACACCCGGCCTTCTATTATATATAGTAAATCCTAATAATAAGATAATTAATAACTGAATAATTATAGAGCTAGACCTCACCAGTCGCCGGCCATTAATGGAGATGAAGCACCTTTCTTCCATCGCCGCCGACGTCCTACGCCAATGTGCCCAGTAAATCTCTCTTTCACTTCCCTCTATCTATTGCTAAATTCATACGTAATGCTCGTTCCTAGCTAATCATAAGGAATTAATTAAGGAAATCATATGCAAATGATCGAATATATGCATGCGTGTGTACATATGTATGATTGATTCAACAAGAATTTGCATCTCCCATGGATAGATTTTGGATTGGTTCATTGATCATTATTAATGACTGAGAGACTTCATTAAGATTTCCCTATTTATATGTACTTGTAAAATCTGATTTTCATTCTTTGGAAGAAATTCAATACTTCTCTTTCTTAGTGAAAAAGAAACTGAGTTGGAATTGTGACTTGTGATTTTCAAAATGAACTTGTAAGTCATTATGGAGATCAGTTAAGCTCCCTCTATTCCTTAATTAGCTTATTCATGTTTCAACTTTCATGCCAAGTTGCCAACCAATGGAATGATTAAAAACATTTAAGACTACCTAATATGTCTTACAAATTATATTAGAAAGAGATTAAGTGTAATCTTATACGGAGTAATTCAAGAGTAATTTAAACTACTTTCATGCAATATAGGGTATGCTTCCTTCACGGAAACAGAAAAGGAGGATTGTGCATGGCGGAGTGTATTTTGTTAACTTATTTGGTTTAGCCGGAGGTTGTGGGGGTAGGAAAATGGAGTGAAATATAGGAGTAAAATGCATAAACGATACCGGGTAATGTTGCATTTTGTTAGCATAACTCATAAATGAAAGAAATGATAAATGTTTCAACCGGTAATACTATTCAAATTTCCGGCCAAAAAAAACTTTATGGCGAACAGAATTTCATGCGTAGAGTCCATCCTATAGTGTACGTAAAGTAAAGTGGACTTTACGCATAGAATTCTCTATAGTGTATGTAAAGTAAAGTGGACTTTACGTAGGATTTATAGTTGAAACATTTATGTACAATTATGGTACTGATTTGATTCATTATTTGCAGCCTTTTTATTTTATCATTTATATATATATTCATCTTTTTTTATATTATCTTTTCATAATAATAGCTTATCTTTTTATCTTTATTCCTTCTTTTCCTTTTGGTTGTGATATCATTTATCGATTCATATTCATATTAACCAACCCCAATATCTTTTGGGACTAAGACTTGGATGTTGTTTGTATGGTACTGATTTGATTCATCTAATAGTTGTACCAAAGGGCAATAATACCAATAGTTAATGTATCCCTTATGCATTCACTGGAAATATAGGTCTCCCCTACAAAAAGTAAGTCTGGGTACATCTTTTATGTACTTTGTGTGTGTACATTAGTTTTGTGTGCATTCATATATAGCATCCTTTTATTGGATGATGTTGGAAAGCAATCTAACTTTGTAACAATCCAATATCCCATAGAAGGATGACACACATGAATGTACAAAGAAATGATATTAAGGAGAGGGGAGGACTAAATAACCTCCTCTCCTCCAGTTTTTAACCAAACATACCCTCAATGTATGGGAGGTGTGGATAACTTTCCTTCCCATTCCCTCCAAAAGTCCTAACCAAACATATACCCTCAATGTTTTGTCATTTCTAAAGAATAAACAGAGAAAATAAAAATGGGAGATGTAGAAAATGGCAACAAAGACTATGGTGATGAAATGCATTTCTTATCTTATACAGAATACTTGTATATAGAAGTAGTATAACAAAAATATTAATCTCATTGATCTGATTTATGCTTGGAAATCGATCACACCAACTTGGGAACAATTTCCAAAAGTTCTATATTGTTGACAATTAGCACCTTATTTGTTTTATATATTAGGACGCTAGGGAAATCTGTGGAGGAAATAGTGATTGAATTTGAGGTGGGATGGGATGCATCTGAGAAGGGATACTCAAAGAAGTTGCTGGAGTTTTCTTGCTCTAAGGCCTTGGCTAAGATGTTCAGGCAAAGTACACATGATGCTATTCTTGATAGTTCGTCCTTTAGCCGCTTCACTTTTGATATGATGCTTGCTTGGAATATGCCCAGCTCAGCAGACGAAGAATCATATAATGTATATGTTGTTTCTTTTCCATTTCCATGCAATATTACTACTAATATTGTGTTTATGAAATTTCACATCATCAGTGATGTACTACTCTGTGTATTTTTAACAAAATGAGATAATTCAAGAGTTGTACTTTTCTTTAACTGTCTGGTAATCCACATAATATGTAATATGCACATTTTTTTCTTTCAACAGGAGTGTATGGGAAAAGAAAAGGAAGACAAACAAGTGGCTATAATAAACACCAATGATCAAGGACAAGATGACATCCCTTTGTTTTACTCGGATATTATGCCACTCCTTGTAAGGATATAATCTGTTTAATACTATGTAATAAATTACTCCTCTACTTTTATTGATATAACTCTGAACTTACAATTTCATAATTTCTAGAGATATTATGAAGCTTCTATAGAAAAATAGTGAACCTATACGTGTAGGAATTGGACATCTAATCCTTCAAATCTATGAGGTATATATATGAAAATTGTAACTATAGTACGCAGTACTACTAAAACTATATTATCCTCGGATTATGATTTATATCCATTAACACCGGCAATGCCTACTGCCTACCATCAGGGTCATAGGTAGAGGGAGTTCTACCACTTCTACCCGTGTCCGAACCACCCCTTTTTATGTAATAATGTTGTGTGAGTAAAAGTTTATTTAAATGAATCCTTTTTCTGGCTTACACCAAGTTGGGGTTCTGGCTACGCCAATAAGGCAATACCTACTATCAATGCAGTTTGTATATTATCTACTGTGGACAAGATTACGTTTGGTTCGTTCCCGATTTGTACTCTTTCTCGAACATGTGTAGTAATGAATGCCTTTGTGTTTTAATTGATTAAAAATGGTGTGTTTTCTATTGTTAGATTTTTGTTTTCTTTTTCTTTTATGGGTAAACTGTATTGTAAGGTTGATCATGAGCCAAGCGTTACTGAAGATGCATTTGTGTGGCTAGCTACACTTGTACCCGTGATAGCAGATGTTGTTAATGCACGGTTTACTTTCGAGACTCTTACAGCTCCTTCTGGGTGTAAACTCCATTATCCTGCCTACAATATGTTCTTGAAACAGATTGACAAGTAAGTAAGAATGACCTCGTTTGGTAACACTAAAATAGGCTGAATTTGCTGAAGTTGCATGTGGTTGAAATGACTGAATTGGTTGTATGAAAAAATTATATTTGAAATATATTTTGATTATTATACTTCGTGCAATTTAGTGTGCGGAACAGAAATCTTGGGAGTTTGAATTGGTAAAAATGTGGCTGATAAGCCAAAAAATGGGTTACCAAACGGGCACCATATAAGAACTAAAGCTCATATCAGTCTAAGTTAATGATTAATAGCTTTTCTTTCATGACCAACTACCTGTTCCTATTGTTTTTGGTAAGATGCATAAGGCATTTGCAGAAGCAAGCCAAACCAACTGGGGTAGAACTAGAGGATAATGAGTTTATACTGCACGTTGAAGGAACTGCAACAACACAGAGAGTAGTCCGCCATATTGGTGGAACAAGTTGGCCTGGTATGTCTTTGATCTTCTTTTATGGTGTGCATGTCACTATGTCAGGCATTTTCAAGGCCTCTTATGTATTTACACAAGACTGCATTTTATAGGTAGGTTGACATTAACAAACTACGCTCTCTACTTTGAGGCATCTGGAGTCCTGTCTTATGAAGATGCTCTTAGAATCGACCTTTCTAAGGATATTGACCAGAGCATAGTCCCAGCCGCAACAGGTCCATGGGGTGCTCCCCTTTTTGACAAAGCCATTGTTTACCACTCATCTGAACTGTAAGTTTCTTTCACCAATGTACTGCAATCTTAGGTTGATGCATTGCTCAAGTTTCCTGCTCCTCCCGCAAAAGGGCCTCTACGGAAGAGAGCAAAGTAGGAGAAGTTTAATAGGATTAGAACTTCATTTAGCCAAGAGGCCGTTGATTAATAGTCCCAGCCGCAACAGGTCCATGGGGTGCTCCCCTTTTTGACAAAGCCATTGTTTACCACTCATCTGAACTGTAAGTTTCTTTCACCAATGTACTGCAATCTTAGGTTGATGCATTGCTCAAGTTTCCTGCTCCTCCCGCAAAAGGGCCTCTACGGAAGAGAGCAAAGTAGGAGAAGTTTAATAGGATTAGAACTTCATTTAGCCAAGAGGCCGTTGATTAATGTACTTGACAACGTAGTAGCCTGGTTTTCATTTATTCATGCATATGTGGACTGTTGGTGATCTGATGAGCAAAAGTTCAACCTATTCTCTTGTGTGAGATTGTTAAGTACAGAATAACCAAATTTATAAATACAAAAACCCCACATTCGTGATTTTCTACTCCCTCCCTCACATTAAGTTTAAGGCAAGGGTTGGTTATTGGATTTATTAAAATGTGATTGTGAGCCATTAAATATGACCAAAAAGGAATGAGGCAGACCTTTTAGAGCAGACACAAAGGATTGAGGGAGTGCTAATAATTTATTTACTTTTTTTGTTCGATTTACCCGTTCTTGTTAAGGAATTCTAAGGTAGGTTCACAGTATTTTTTTTCTTTCAAATAAATCTCAAATACCTTATTAAACTCAGTTAGTCAAATTGGGCAATTATTTAGCAACATTCAGTCAAAAGAGGCCAATAGTAGCAATATACATTACTACTATCACTATCATCCTCCATCGTCCCCACCTTCTCCAACTTGGAGCTTCTGCCATAGCTAATGGTGGCAGCTCTACTGTCCGCTATGATGGTGGCAGCAGAGTCTTTCAGACTGTAAGTTACCTCAGTTAAGCGCCATTCTTGTGAGACAGTAGAAGTATCATTAGCAGTATTGTTACTTTGCAACTTCCAGCACAACTATAGTTGTTGTCCTTATTCATAAACTTTTTTCCTAAATGTCCAGTTTTTATTTTGTTTTCCTTTTTATTCATTTTGTTTTCCTTTATATTTCATTTTGTTTTCCTTTTTATTCATTTTGTTTTCCTTTATATTCATTTTGTTTTCCTTTATATTCATTTTGTTTTCCTTTTTATTTTAATAAAACCTGTCGAATGTTCCCGGCATTTGCCCCACCACCCGGTGGTTTGCCTACAGGGTCTATAAAAAAGAGGTAGTTGCTTATACAATTATAGCTTCCTTAACTTTCGTTTATTAGTATTATAATAATTATTACTCCGTATTAAATTATTAGTTACTACTATTATTATTATTAGGGAAAATTAAGACCGTGTATCTGGCAAACTTTTAGGCAAGAAAGTGTTGTCCTAGAGTTTCCAGAAATGACAAGCTCCACGAGACGTGATCACTGGCTCGCACTCGTCAAGGAGATAATGCTGTTTCATAAGTTCTTACTAAATTACGAGGTCAGGTCGTTGGTGGAATCATGGGAAATGCATGCCAGGACAATACTTGGAATAATAAGACTTCATGCTGTTAGAGAAATGCTTAGGATTTGCCCCCCTGTTCCCAAAAACTTCTTAATCTTTACCTTGCTTGATGAGTTGCCTAGAGGAGATTATGTGCTGGAAGAGCTTGCCCGGAGTTTGAAGAAGGCCAACATTGACCATCCATGTAGTGCAAGCTCAATCTTGAAGTGTGTTAATGTCTCCCAACTGTCAACATCCCTTCCAGAGAGAGGGGTGAAGGAAGTGGATGTTAAAGGAAACGATCCCTTGGCTCAAGCCGAAGATGTGTCATCACTCGAGAGTGCCATCGACCAGGCAAGAGAGGAAGAAAAAGAAATAATTGTTGCTAAAGCTACAGTTGAGGAAGTGAGAGAAGAAGGAATTGCCAACAATGTTCAGGCTTTTTTGGTAAGGCTCTATTGGAAAGACAATGTTATACATGTGAAATATCCCGGGTAAGATGCATAAACAGATTTTAATTATCAATATTGATCATTTTGGTACCCCATTTATATTCCATCATATGAGTGTTCAACGTGCATTCTTCAAAGAAAATGTGTAATGATTTAATATACCATGCTTGTGAAGTCATCATGATATCTAGTTGAAACGCTACATTTTTTATCCTTGAATACACATATAATTCAGGCTGTCAAGTTGGATGAATGTAGTTCAGTTGAGACAAATGAATATATTTAGGATACTCATCTGCCTCATTTAATAGTTGGGGTACTAAAATACATCAATAGTTAAGTCACTGTTTATGCCCTTTTTACCCGGGAAATATCATATACGATGCATGTCATTGATAACGCTAGCAAAAAGGTTGGGAACACACAAATATCAATTGTGTATTAAAAAAGTCCATCTTGTGACCATAACATTCTCTCTATTTATTTTCTCATGTGACCATAACATTCTCTCTTATTACTTTCTCAGCTGTGACAAACTTTTTTTGTTATTGCTTGCAGTGTTTGGTTAAACCATTTGGAGCCTTGATATCTCGTTTCCAAGATATTTTTACATGGGAAAGGCCACTAACCTCTTCCATTGTTCTTGTGATAACCCTTCTAGTTATTTACAAGTTAGTCCTTTTAAAATTTCTCTAATCACCCTCCCATCTCTTCATTTACCTGTAGAGTGGATTAAGGCGTCAAATTGTCAAATTCAGGCATTGACTATTTATTATTGATGAGGAATTAATCAACTTTGCTTGGTGAATGCATGTAGGGAATGGGTTGGCAAGGCAATTGCAGCATTTCTACTGTGTGTGGTTGCTACAATTCTGAGGGCCAGACAGCTTGGGCTAGCTAATAAACACAACAAGATTCTTGTTTACATTGGATCCGATAAATCTGCGGTGGAGAACATAGTGTCAGCACAACAGGGTTTAAGAACTGCAGGTGACATTATTCAACAAATGAATGTCACTTTGCTCAAAGTTTGGTCACTGTTTGCTTCTAAAGCACCAAAGGTAACCTACATCAACTTCAGGTTTTAGCTTGATAGTTTCCCCTTCCCACAAACCAGCCGAAGTCTAATCAGGTTTACACTGGCAGCTTAAATTTTATGAAGTCATTCAAACTGTGTCAAATATAAAGGACACAAACTAACAGTTAAAGCCACGGGTCATCATCAACCGGATGACTCAATATGGTGCCAGTGCGCCTACTAAGTTCAAACTGAGCAAAACAAGCAATTCGATCATGGCATTTAAGATTGAGCTGTTCGAATGAGCCAATCTTGCGGGTCTAGTAGATCATGAACCAAATACAAAAACATAAATGAACATATAAAGCTTTCAGCCTGTTGTTTTAGTATCAAGTCCCTGATTCTTATAGACGGCATCATAGCTTTATGTGCATTCTAACGCGGATTTGATTATGAACGCCTTATTACAGCAATCAAACACGGTGGTGGCAGTTATGATTGGGGTTGCGGTAGTGCTAGCAGTGGTACCATTCAAGTATATCCTAATGGGACTTGTACTGTCTGGCTTCATATCATCCTCAAAGATGATGGCAAAAGGAAAGCAAAAGGACGGGGGAAGCAGGCGGCTCAAGGAGTGGTGGGATTCCATACCGGTTGCACCTGTCGAGGTCATCGATGAGAAGGCGGCTGATGATAGCGTAGTGGTGCTTTGATGACAATGGGTCGTTACTTTGTTCATAAGCATACTTGATACTAGTTGTATAGTGTTCTTTATCTAATATTGAAAACAATGGTCGTTTTAGACTTTTAGAGTTAAGCTCCTTTGCACGTTGATCAAGGAAAGGAGCACTGTAATCTAACTCAAACAAGGCAAGGTAAAGATAAACTAATAGCAGTGGTATTACTTGGAACCTCATGAGCTATGAGTACGCCTGTTGCATACTTGCATTTGAACTTGAAGGTGAACAACTCGCGGAAATGACTAGTTCTAGTTTCGATTTTTAGGATGTCACTTGTTTCGGTCGTAACACCGGACCTGGGATTTTTCACTCTAATACATACTCCTCATTTCATAAGCTCATGTTGTCTTTTCCTAAAAATTTAATTCATCTTTTAGCGTTTTAGCCCTAAACTGATATTTTCAGATGTCAGCAATAAAAATGACTTCTAAAAACATAGGTTTCACCGGTTATAGGCAAGTGAAAACTAAAGCACTTATTGCCTTGAATTTTCATCAAAAAGGGTCCTCAAGGAAACTCTCAACTGAAATCTACTGAAAGGAATGAGCTAGAATCATTGGTTTGACCTACCGCTGGAAAAGAGACCCATTCAAGCGACATCTTCCTCTCATAGCATGAGTGTAATTCAAGAACCTGCAAGGATAGTTCAACCGGTGGAAAAGTTGGAGAATGACCATCGAAACTCACAACAGTCGTGTGCTGAGTTAGGCCTCTGGTGCATTAGGGTATAAGGTCTGTTAGAGTTGGTGAATCACCATAATTTACATCCTTTCATATGCTCTGTCGGATCGGGATGTGGGGAGCCCTTAGGGTTGGGTATTCAACCTTTTGGAGAATGACACTAATTAAGAAGGCAAACGATTGAAGTGATTTGAGAGGGGTGAATGATTGAGGTCATTGTCATCAATGTGTGAATCCTAGAAAAAGTTGGACATCAAATCTTGCCAATCACCAAGTACAAAACTCAATTATCTCAGCAGCTTTGCTGTCGATGAATACACGCCTCTAGATGTTATAGAGAAAGAAACATATCATTTTTGGTGGTGATTGGGTATCCTTGCTTGGGATGACCCCGTTTTGTTGATGTTTTGCCACAAACCACATGTACATATACACTTTGGATATATATATATATATATATATATATATTTACAGTTTATCCAAAAAAGAGAAAGAAACATATCATACTAATTGTCACCCCATATGATATCACAAAACGTATCAGAGAATGAGGAAGCGCCACAAGAGTTTATTGGGAGGGTTACACTGCATACTAAACTTGTATTGGTTGCATTAATGCAAATCCATTGAGCATTCGAACATAAACGATCCGATTTTAGCTTAGAAATTCATAAGTCCACTGCCATCCACAATTTTAATAGAAATCATAAAAATCATCAAAAATGTAGGACACCTAGACATTAATGGAATGAATATAACTCTTAACTGGAACGCCCGAGTCAGCATCTTCTTCATGAAAAGATTTCATGATTAATTTTTAATCTTGTTGTAAGAAATTTGAAAATGGAAGAGGTAAAAATGAGTTATGCCACTGTAATATTAAGTGAGCTCATGTATTTATAGTAATAAAGTTGTATGGTGTAATATATATAGTGAGAAAAGGATTCAATGGGCATTTCAACCGGAGAAGAGAATTCAATATGCTATAAATGACACACTAAGTGGAGAAGAGAATCCTATAAATAAACACATCAAGTGGAAGAGAATCCAATGTTTTATGATTTATAATAGCAAAAGAAAACTTCTTGGAGAAGTTTCAGCTAAAAAGTTTTAAGGTGAAAGAAAAGTAGTTAGAAGTTCCGTAGAAAGGTAGCCGAAAGTTCATTTAAGTGTTTACAAATAAATTTATTGGGAAGCTCTTCTAAGATGAAAATTAAATGAATATGACTCCTAGTATTCCCATGTAAACTTCACTGATGTCTCAATAAACGTTAATTTTCCCACATTCCAATTAGATTGTATGTATCACAGGATTCAAACCAAAGAAAGAAACAAAATAAATGTTGCTAACAAAATCCGGAGATTCCAAAAAAGAATGAGAGAACATGCGTAGTTACTAATCATAATGAGAATTTAGCTGACACTTTATTTCGTTTCCTTCGTTTCCAGCAAATAGTGGAGTAATGCAATATTCATCTGTCCCTTAAAACTTTGCCAAGTTTGACCGGACCGGGGATTAATAAAGTAAAAAGGGTGTGATACAGGTTTGTGCAGAGGAGAGAGAATTCATTATATCCACAAATTCTTTACTTAAAATGGAAAGTGGCAAAATTAGTGGGACATCCAAAAAATGAAAATTGACAAAGTTTTAAGGGACGGAGTGTTGGAAGTATGCCCTAGGACAATCATACTTTATGATTTATCAATGAATATTTAATGCTCATTAATTAATAAAGTCACAAACTCATTTTATGTTAATTATTATTGTGAGTTTTCTTTATTAATTTTTAGTCCCTGAATATTATGTTTAGTAGCTAATTAAGTACGTGACTTAATTTTGGAATGCTACACTTTAAAATAAGCATAATATTCTAATTGTCCATGATCTAATATTATTAATTTGGGACATTAATAATTAATAGACCATTATGTGGATTAACTTATGGCTATATTCCACTAGTCATGGGTATAGAGATATCAAGTTAATAACATAGATGCTTGTTAGTGAACAAGTTCATTGGACAGACCCAACTTGAGAACACTGCTAGGTTATATGTCATCAGTGTTGTCCTCAATAATGATGAGGTGCTATATTCTTGTACTTGAGATAATCATGATTACTTGCAAGTGAATTAATATGTATTAACACCATTAAATATTATTTTAAATGGGTATTTATAAAAGTGGTGATTGTACATATTATGAACCATGTAGTGGTATGTGAATTATCAAGATAGTTTTTGTCACTCTCGTATAGCGAGAGAAAGATATCTATTGGGCCCCTTGACAAGTAAGATTAATTAGCATGGCCATGCTCAAATGAGGTGTCATTTGTTCAAAATTAATCTTACTTGGTAATCAAGAAATATTAATTGAGAATAACAAGGATGACATGACCTAACCTTGTCTCAATTAAGATATCGTTTGACAAAAGAGAATTATTAGCACAAATTAATCATTAAAAGGTTATGTCAAATTTAATTGACATTTATATATTTTGAATAGTCATAATGCCTTGCTAGAGGCCGCTTATGATTTGCGAGACTTGAATTAATTTTTTAGCCCACTGCCAATAATATATAAACCTACAGGGTCACACACCTAAGTGATTTGGATCATTAATGTTCGTTAATAACATTAAAATAGTCTGATTAGCCCAATTCGAAATAGGGTTTCGAATGGTATTGGGTTAGGGCCTCTTGGAGGGTTTTATTAGCTATAAAACTCCTTCTTTCCTCCTCTTATAAATAGGGCTATCTAGACCCACGAATTTTAAGAGTTAAAATTCACTTCTAAAACCTAGAATAGAGAGGAGGAAAGAAGAGAACGCTAGCACGTTCCCTGCGGCCGATCCAATCACGTGTGTGTGGATACCAGTAGAGCTCGGGATCGTTTTCTCGTACTGTCTGACATCCTTGATTAAGATTGCTACGTAAGTCCCTCTTATATCTTGTAATTTCGTTTATAGTAAGAACCTCAGATCCGGTTGTTTTCTTTTGGGCAGTATTTTTTTTGTTTATTCCGCTGCGTTTTTCTGCCCGAAACCCAACAGTGGTATCAGAGCCAGGTTCTTTATTATATTCGGGTTACCTTATTTAATATATAATCAGTAATTTGATTATTTTGGGATTTTTCGGAATTAATTTTTATTAATTTCGGAATTAGTTTTTTTATTAATTTCGGAATTTATGTGTATTTATATTCCGAATTTTTTGGTAAGGATGTGATATTCGAATATTTCAAATTTGATCCAATATATATTCACAATTATATTTGGAATATTTTGTGATATTATTTATTATTTTTCGGATCAGATCTGAATGGAATTAGGAATTGGATAAAATCCTACAGCCTAATTATTCGGAAGAGATCTGAATGGACATAAAAGTTCAACAGTTTGATCTGGATCCGAATTGATACTCATAATTTATGTTAAGAATATTTTATGATATTATTTATTATTTTTCGGATCAGATCTGAATGGAATTAGGAATTGGATAAAATCCTACAGCCTAATTATTCGAATGAGATCTGAATGGACATGAAAGTTCAATAGTTTGAATTGGATCCGAATTGATACTCATAATTTATGTTAAGAATATTTTATGATATTATTTATCATTTTTCGGATCAGATCTGAATGGAATTAGGAATTGGATAAAATCCTACAGCCTAATTATTCAGAAGAGATCTGAATGGACATGAAAGTTCAATAGTTTGAATTGGATCCGAATTGATACTCATAATTTATGTTAAGAATATTTTATGATATTATTTATTATTTTTCAGATCAGATCTGAATGTAATTAGGAATTGGATAAAATCCTACTGCCTAATTATTCGGAACAGATCTGAGTGGATATCAAAAATTCAGTTTTTTTTTAATCAGATCTGGTTCAGAATATTATTTTAGTTTTAGGAGATTTGGTTTCTAATTTTTCGGATGAGATCCAAATTATTTTGGCAACCGCCGGCTAATGAGCTGTTTTTGTGGATCGGACAATCTTGTTTTGGCCGTAACTTTTGACTCGTTAATCCGTTTCCGACCCATAAGTACTTTTCGGAAACGGGAAGACGAGCTCTACACAAATCAAGGCAAAGCCGTGAAAAATCTCCCATATTATAATTCGAATGGTTTGATCAAGTGTTCTGCCAAATTCGAATTTAAGTTCATTATATTTTATTCGTATTTATATATGTGTACTGATCTATATTACGGATATGATCTGTACATGTGTATATATAATACGAATTATTTTAGAATTCATTAATATGTATGTTTATTTTTCGGATGAGATCCAAATTAATTACATATTACTTGCGGATTTTAAAATTTAATTTTCAATCCGTGCATGCGCAATTATTTTGTTTCGTCACAGGACAGATTGAATTGGTGGTATAGCATGATCCGAATGTATGTTTTATATTATGTTGTTTTACGGCCTGCATGTCGTTATTCCGAATATCTCCTGTAATGTTTTCAACCCCGTAGATATTTAGTAGTCTACTGGCACAGATTGAAGATGCCAATGAGATATGAAGTATTAGGGGTCATGCTATATCACTACACTAGTTTTAAATTATT